TATGACTATTCCAGTTTGGCAATTTTCACCCTTGCTTCGTGCAGAATTTTCTTGGAGAAGCAGTAATGGGGAGTTGTACGTCTACTAAGTATTAGCAGAACGCTCTCTGTTTCTCTTCAGTTGCTGCAGACAATGAGCATCATGATCCAGAACTAAGAAGTGAACATGCTATATGTAAGTTCTCAATAAAGGACTTATATATGAAAGTCTTAAGTTCTCATTTAATGATTTTCCCCATGTAACTTTTTGCAGACTACTTGTTCAGTAACGAACATATCAACTACTTAATAACTTATACATTTGACTTTCGCAATGAAGAACTATTATCTTATTACATATCGTTCTTAAGGTTTGTTTTCTTTTCTTCTAGCATAGTGTCTATTTTTAGGTTCTTTATTAATTTTATCATGGCGCACCTTTTTAACATCTTTGTTGATTGCATATTGTGTTTTGCTTAGAGCAATAAGTGGAAAGCTAAACAAGAGTACAATTTCTCTGCTTGTAAAGACACATGATGTAAGTGTTTTTTTTTTTTAGAAAAATCTTCTCCAAGTCTGTACTGATTATGGCATGTTCTTCCATTATTTTTTTGAGAAGGTGTTCTTTCATTATTTTACTTAGAAAAAACATTGTTGTGTTTGATAAATAGCTATTTAAAAATTGATAGCTACTACTTGCTTGCAGCTGCATGTGATGAATGTCTAGGGCAAGATTTGGGTAGATTTCTGCCCGGGTCATAAGTAGATATAATCATTGTGGCTGTTTGTGACCTTCCTAGGTTGTTAAGGTGACCTCAGAATTACATTTTGTTAAGTTTTCTAAAGTAGAGGGGAGCCATTGCTGTCACTTCCTTTCTCCTCTTCTTTAAAATTTATACTAACGTGAAGGTGTGAATCCTCAATTTTATAATGCCTTAATAATCTCTATTTATTTTTACCTGGAAATCTGGTTAAATATACTTTTGGGAGAATAGTTATTTGCTGAAGACCATGTGGTACCAGATTTGCCTTTTGCATCGTGATTTCAAATTTTTCTTGTTAGGCTGGTTATAGATTTTGGACTGACCATGAAGGTGTAAGGAGACATAACTCATCTTAGTTAAAAGATCATTTATTCACATGCTACAGTATCTAACCGGCATGAGATGCTTAGCAAGTATTTGCTATATCCATGCTCTAGGGTGATTAGTGTTCTCTGTGCTTACTAAGTTTTTGTAACATCCAGCTAGCCCAATGTTTCTTCGGCCTAATCCAAAGGACCCAAGCCCATAGGCCAGCCCCACTCTTCTCACCTGTAACACAGCAAAAAGGGGGAGGGGGTGTTGTAAGGTCTTGGTAGGTTTAGGAGTCAACTAGGCGAACAGTGAGGATTGGACTGGTAGGATGAAGGGCTGAGATTGGATGGGAAGGGAGATATATAAAGAGGAGTGGGCTGAGGAAAAAAAAGAAGAAAAAGAACAAAAAACAGGAAAAAGGGGGAAAAGAGAGAGATGCTCGACAGTGAAGGAAGGAGAGTGAAGAAGGGAAGGAGAGATCGGTTACAGAGGTTGAAGAGACGTACCAGAAGAGAGGACTTTACTGAGCTAGGAAGAGATGGAGGCTAGAGGTAAATAAATTTGAATGCTCAAATGTTGTTATGGT